GATGGGGGAGCCCGTGCGGCGACCCAAAAAACCCAGGTTGGTGAAAAAAAAAAAAAAAAAAGAAAGAAATCTGCCACACAGAACTCAGCTGTAACACACACACATACACACACACACAGACACACACGGTTCCTCTCTCTCTTCCCTTCTCCAGGATGTTGCACGCCCACCATTCCACATTAATTATCTCTCATTCGCCCCCTCCCCTCACCCCAAACCCTCGTCCATCCTCGCTTCACGCCAACATCACCACGGCAACCAGGAGACCACACTGATGGCGTCCCGGTGGCTGCACCTCACCATCTTCAACCATCAGCACCAACCTGACATCATCATCATCATCATCATCGTCAGTCAGCTGAACGTGTTTACTCACATTCCTCTGAGTCGGATCAGGACCTGGTTGTTGTGGTTCTGCTCCAGAGTGTCAACAAAGTCTTGCACCTCCTCGGTGTGCTTCCCCTCGTCTTCCTGCAGCTGCTGTTGCTCAGTCTGTAGCATCTCCTCACCCTGCACCTCCTCCTCCTCTTCCTCCTGCAGCTGCTCCTCCTCCTCCTCAGCTTGCTGCATCTCCTCAACCTCGCATGGTTGCACCTCCTGCATCTCCTCCATGAGTGACATCTTCACCTCCTCCACCTCTTCCCGCTCCTCTTGTTCCTCCATCAACTCCTGGAAAAGTCCACCCTCCTGTTGCTCCTCCTCGGTTTCCGTCACCCCCACAGGGAGCTGCGCCTCCTCCGCCTCATCACTCACCTCCCTCTGCGAGTTTCTTTTTTTTTTTTTTTTGTCTTTTTCTCCAGAAGTGTTCACAGAGCGGAGTTTGGTCCCCGCGAAGGCGTCTCAGAGTGCCGGAGTGGAGAAAACATCAACGCAGATTGAAGAAGAAGAAAAAGAAGAAGAAGAGTAGAAGAGTTTTTCCAACTTCATCCAACTTCCTCTGATGTCACTCTGCAGGACAATCCAAATGGTTGCCCTCTGCCCGGTGGGGAGGTTGGGTGAGAGGTTGCAAGAAAAACAAACAAACCAAAAAAAATGTCTTTTTTTTTTTAAAGAGGGAAGAACAAACAGCAAAAGCAAGGCGATCAGTTTAACTCTGCGCTCCAACACTGCGGCGGACTCCAAGCATCGCCGTGGCAACGCAAGGGGGAGGTCGACCAGCGATAAAGATGGGATGGAGAGAGGGAGGGAAAAAGGGAGAGAGAGGGAGCGAGAGAGGAGAGTGATGGAGGAGGACAAAAGAGAAAGCAGGGAACATTGCTTAGCGTTTCCGTGGAAACTCAACAACGGTTGCCAAGAGTGATGGAATCCTGCAGCTGACAGACCAGCCTCTTCCTCCTCTTCCTCCTCCTCCACATCTCTCCCCACCTCCCGGATTCAGAAGAGCAGAACTTTACTCTAAAGGTGCAAAGCGAAACATCCCAGTCTGTCCTGCCCTCTGACCTGCTGCCAGAGATGCAGCGTGTGTGTGAGTGTGTGTGTGTGTGTAGGGCTTTAGACAACGATGATGTAATGTTCCTGAAAATCACAGTCACACATCCTCAGTCAGATGGAACAATCGTACAGTGAATAGAGCTATTAGCGCCCTCAAGAGGCTCCACTGGTCAATGCAGAAAAAGAGAGAAAAAAATCAGTTGTAGAGGCACCATGCAAAACCCAGACTGGGACAAATATATATCTACGTTGCTTTATGACAGTGGCTGCGTTTCCAGTACAAATGTTCGCAAATATTTGTCTGTATTCTTTTAATGTAAAAAATAAATTAAAAATCCACACAATATCACATTTGCGGTGTTTCCATTATATAAGAAATTAAATTAAAGTTTTTATGAACTGTGTGATGCTGTGAAAGCTCTGATGGAGCCAGCTGCACATTATTCAGAACAAACCATCATCCTCCTACCATTTCCTGTCATCGTCTTCTTTGTTGTTTTCACCAGTAGTAACATCCAGCTGTTGATCACGTTACTGTTGTGATGCGAAAAATTACAGCATTGCAGTTTTGCGAAATTCATCTATTTAGATACGGCCAAAAAACCACAGCAAAATTTTTTTGGTGAAAAATGTGTTTGTTTTTTTTCTTTCGAAATTAGCGTGTTTCTATTAAGCAAAGTCATTTTCCTATTTTCAATTTGCGCAACTTCAGTTTTTTAGTTCCGGTTCTCTACATGTTTTAGACGTGTTTCTGTTCTAGAGCAGCTGATTCAAGCATGACCTCCTCTGCATCCCATCCAGTCGAGCCTCTTTGTCACCCACTTATTCAAGTTGGGTGCTTGACTGAAGGGAAATACCTAAAACATGTAGGGCAGTGAAGACCAGAGTTTACAAATACTGCTTTATGACATCAGTGGAAATTTTGTCAGAAGCTATGGCTTACAAAAAAAAATAAAGCTGAAGTTATTATCTTTGGACCTAAAGAGAAACAATCTGGAGTCAGCACAGCGTATCAGTTACTGAAGCTGGAGACCAGCAATCGGGTCCGAAATCTGAGTGTAGTGATGGACTCAGATCTGAACCTTCAGAGTCACATAAAGACAGTCATAAAGTCGGCCTTCTGTCACCTGAAGAACATTTCCTAGTCCAGTTTGCTGCTCAAGCTCAGTCAGATTGGAAGGAGAAAGCCGATGCACAACTCCTTTCAAGACAGACTCTAAATTACTTGATTTAGATCTGGGTTTTGTCTGAGCCATTCATCACCAACAATAAATTGTCACATAACCAGTGGAAACATGCAACAGAAAAAAAAAACTATTCACATCAGTTATTTGAAAAATGCCTGACAAAATTGTCTCGCTGTATTTGCTATTTTAAATTTGCAAACAAAAAGTGCTCACAGATGTTTGTGCTTTGGTTTTCATTTGTGTTTGTTTTGTGATCATTTCGGCAGTATTGTGTAAAATCATTTTTCTTTTGGCATTACATCATGTTATAATGTTATTCCCTCTTCAAAAACGTACCTACAGGGTTGCCTATATTTTTTTTCCATGCATGTTTAAGAAATCTTTTAATCTCCCATGGTTGTATAAAATTTTTGGTGGGATGCAACGCCTCCACTCAGCTCCTTCAGACTAGCCAGCAGCAATTAGCAAACACCTAGTGGAACTGCACATCTGCTGAGCTCATTATAGGAGCTACTTCTCAGTACAGCGCTGGTAAAAAACATTGTCAAAGGGTTTATAGAGGAGCCATCTTGTAATGACTTCCTGAAGGTGGAGTTTCAGAAAGAGCAGGAGCTTCTTAAAGAGACAGAGGCCCAATTTCAAGGAGTTAAATATTGATGTCAAATTTCTTTTGAGTCATTTGATATAAATATAGTATTTTTATAACAACCGACGGTAAAATAGTTACTTAATTGTCCTGCATAATGGAACTATATACCTGGAAAATACATAATACTGCCCCTTTAAAGCTCTTAATCGCTTGGCTATAGGTGCCTTTAGGTCCAACTAAAAGTCAACATGACAGATTTAAGCTCACTCAAAGAGGACTGAGGTCAAAGATCTTATGCAAAGTTTCTTGCAAATAACTACTAATAGTGTGTGCAATAATAGTACAATTCACGGAAGGCTATTTCAAATTGAAATTGAGAAATATTTTACTGATCCCAAAGGGAAATTAAATGTTGTGGTAACTCACATTCATTCACACTTGACTTTTTTTTTTTAAATAACTAATCGTGAATGTTACAATTGAAATTCAGTGTCATATTAGAATTAAATGATCTTTTTACATTATTATTATAATTGATGCCATTTTTACCAGCTCTGTTCATTAACCTTGACGCTGATGGATGACCTGGTTCATGGAGTAGCAATCCGTTTTATATCCTGCTAGAGGTCATACTACAACAGATGACCTCTGATGAGGATTAAAAATCAAATTACTGGAGACGGTACTGTAATTTTGTTAATTAAATGAATCCATTAATATTCCGATCGGCCCGGCGGAACATTGTCTCAGAGCAAAACATTTAAAAGGACCAATCCAACCTGCAGTGAATTTTAATCTAGACCAGTTCAGTTTTAGGTAAATAGGAACTTTTGTTTGTGTGAACTGCAGATGAAGTTTTCTCTTGTCCGCAAACTAATTAATAAATTCATCTGATCTCAGTTGAGGCCCGCCTGGAAACGATCATCTGCATTTTCACAAAAATAATAGTATTCTTACATTTGCATCCAGGACTTTGCTCTTTAGGCCATGATTCATATTTTATGACCAAGGTGAGGATCTTAACATAATGAAGCAATAAATCAAGCGCTTTCCTCTGTGGTTCTCCTCTCAGACAGCAGCTGGCATTTGTCCAGACGAAGCCCTTTTCTGTCCACCAACCTCTTTTACCTTCGCTTGAGACACCAAGACACGTAAACTCCTGTGTTTGGGACGGACACTGACACATCTGTTGGGATATCTGTCTTCAGGTTTAGAGGAGCTGACTTTAATATGGGCCAGTCCAGAAAAAGATGTGGATTTAAATTACTTTTCCAGTTTGCTTTTGCTGCAAGCGATCATTAATTATTTCACTTTGAAATCAAAATCTTCCAATGAAGGAAATGAGGATAGCAATGAAAATCATTATTAAACTCCATCCAGGAAGTGATTAAACATAAATTGGCAGGAAAAAGAAATTGCTTATTCCCTGACAGCTAGTTCCAAAAATGTGTTTAAGCAAACTAGGGAGGATGTAAACTGGACAAAAGCAGGTAGACTAAAAAGTCTTTTCCGTACTTCATCCGAAGGGTGATCATGTCTTCTTGCCTTTAAAAAAATTGCATTAAAAGTGTCAACTTTGTATTAGTAGTGTTATTATTTAGTGAATAACACTTGATGACAACAGTCATAAACATTCATGAAGACTCCTTCATGACACGCTAACGCATGTAGCTTATAGCCGACATTATCTTCCAAACAGCATTCCTTTAAAAAGATAGAGGGATTGTGCTCAAAACCAAAGTGATTTGTGCTTTAATCGCGTTTTCCAGGACATTGTTTTTGTATATGATCTACTGGATCTGTTGTTTATGTGAGAAGGACGATGGTCAAGCTGGTTTGACGTGAAAGGACGACGGACAACAGCTTAGATAACCACTTGTTACATCCAAGGTGCGGGGAACACAACCTCCGAATGCACAGCAGATTGAACTTTGAAGTAGATCGAGAACAGGAAACTCAGGCCACAATTCACACAAATTCACTAAAACTGGGCAATAAAAGACTGAAACAACGTCGTCGGATTCCATGAGTCTTGATTTCAGCTGGAACATGCCGATGGTGCAGTCAGAACTTGACATTAAGAACATAACAGCATGGCTCCATGATATTAAAGGTTCAGGCTGCTGGAGGAAGTGTAGTGATACAGGGGATATTTTCTTGACACATCCCAGACCCTTTAGCTCTTACTGAACATCATATGCCACAACCTGCCAAAGTATTGTTGCTCACCATGTCCGTCCTTCATAGCAACCTGCGTTATGAAGAGCTAGAAAGATACATCTATCAAAATGTTCAGTGAGTGAGTCCAGCCTATTTCTCGAATATTTCTTTTAAAAATATGTTAACAGTTGCATTCCTAACACACAGTCATGCCAACGTACCTGTTGTGGAGTTGCTGTATTTGTCTTTTTATAGCCATTCTCTTGGGGATGCGACAAAAACTCAGAGCTGCCCAAATAAAATACCCAGTGAGAGCGCACATCTTTACGACGCCCAGCAGCGTCCTGACAGCAGGGAAGGCCCGACCCATAGCACCCACTGGCTTATGGCTTTGAGACGCCTGTGTTTCAAATCACAGCCCAAGCTGATTCAGAGCTTTGTGGAGTGAAGACGTCCAGAGATCTCGACCTATGCACGACACATCCAGCTTCCATGTGCAAATAATGACACTGAAGCTGAGTTTTGATGGGATTTTGGAGAGATGGGTTGGGAGCTTTTATCATTAATGCGTCCACAGGTCACTGGTTTTAATCCAGTCTGGACCATCCCATTTGAGTACTTTTTTTTTTCAAACTTCCTCCTTAGTTATAATTTATTAATTGTCTCAGTGAGAGCTTTGATATTATAAAACATTCAAATAATCTCAGCCTGCTGTATCTAGTAGCGGTTATTAGTTCAGCTCATCACTTCCTCATCTCTTTCTGAAACTTCTCTGTTGTTGACCACGTTAGGGTCTCTCCCTTCTTCATTTGTCTTTTCACTCAGGCATTCATGAAGACGCCACTGGCTGATTCTGTTTGGCTGGAATAAAATAAATCACTAAAATAATCTGGTTCTTTTATTTCTTTTCGATCCTGTTAGATTGTTAATGTAGAATGAGTACAAACTTTTATTACACAATTATGTTTTACTCTGATTTCTTTTAGAATTATAGGGTTAAATACCAAAAACAACCAACCTAAACCCTAAAAGCAAAAAAATATTCATAACATATTGACTGTTTTTTAATCCACTTTAACAGACACCAACTATTACAATGCAAATGGATAATTATACATATTAGGTGATGACAGCATTTGGCAACTTCTTCCAAATTTTAGGTTTTTTTCTTGTAAGTGACAGCTCTCACTGAAGGAGAAACAATTTTTCAAAACAACATTTTCTGACATTTAAAACAAAACAAAATTCATGAAGCAGCACAGATTTTCCTATGCCTTTTGCCTTCACAAAATAAACCTAAACTACATTAAAATATGTTATAAGCTTAACAAATGGGTCGGGGGGCATGATGTAGTTTCCATTTTATAGTACAATCAAGTAATTACATTACCTTGAGTTGTTATGAACATGCCGTATATTATCAAAAACGACTTTAAAAAATGTATCATAGCCGTTTCTGACACTGTGAAATTGGCCTCAATAAAACAGAACAATGTAACGACAACTTTTGCGTGTCAAACCTAATTTTATATATAAAAAAGGAGTAAATTTCTGCCAAAAAACAAGTAGTTTCAAAATTCAAATATTTTCAATTCGTGAAACTCAAAAAATATCAAAAAGTTGAAAATGTGCAACTTTTAAAACACAGAAATGTCCTTGTTTTTTTGTGTTGTTTTGTTTTTTGTTTTTATTAAAGTTTCTGAGATAAATCTAAAAGTTTTTTGACAAAAATACCAATGTGCTTCCTGGGTAAACATCTAACGACAAACGCGGCTCAGACCGCTAGTGATGGCTCTAATACACCATTGTATGTTAATATGTATCTAAAGACAGCTGGATTAAAAATATACATAAAAAATGTCATGCTCAAATTGACAGCATATATTATAACTTGGAAAAATTAATAAATCCATACATGGGCTCATACACAGCGTTGATAACTGAATATTTCATTCAGACATTTCTGAAAATGTTCAGTGCATTTAACACGATTCTTACCGCAGCTTGCAGTTCCCCCCGCCACACCTCCCAGCGCTGAGCCTGTTCCTGGTTGGTTTCGCCACCGGGCCTCCAGGTTTCATTGGCTGCACAGAGCCACCTGATTTGAAGAACAAAAAATACTTTGAAAAGAGGTGGAGCAGACTGAGTGGTCCACGTTCGCCCAATAAGCAGCACTTGTTACTGTAAACAGGCAGCAGCCGCTTTCTGATTGGTCAACCGCGCGTCGATTGTTCATTGGCTCTTCAGAAATGGGGACAAAACTGAAGAGACTATTAAAGACGATCATGTGGGCGACAGGAGTAGCTTGTGCCTGTGTGTTTGACTAATACATTCAGGTGTTTGTTTGCCGAAAGGCTTTTCAGGAAACAAGGAGAGCGACATGAGCAGAGGTGAAGGACAAGTTGATTCATTTTGAAGAGATTTTTACATCAATGCTTTATCAGAAAATAAATGAAACTTATGTTGGTTATTATGTCAATTAAAAATTCTAAATAAGAAGAGAATACTATAATTTTTTTTTTCTAAATTAGGTCCTAATCATTCTTCACGATGATGTCCACAAAGAATCGTTTTATAAAAATTGTTTCCCCACGTAAAGTTACCAGCTAATTAAGTAGGTCTGGGTTTTCCCTTTTCGTTTCATTCTTTTTAGCCCAGGTAGACTTTCTTACCTTCCACTGTCTGAACCGGGGGTTTCTGGTGGGGTACCACAGTCACCGCCATGTTGCTGTTCAGAACCGAGCAGATGGAGCCCATCGTCAGGTGGAGGCTCCAAACAAGCAGAGCATTCTGAATGATGATGAAAAGACATGCTCCTTCTGCTGCTGTCCACATGCTACTTAGAGTAGCTTTGTATTTGCCCCTCTCACTCACTCGCTCGCTCGCTCTGTCTCTCTCTCTAAACGCTGAACGAGGATGTGTTTGTTTGTGTGTCCATCACACAGATCTGTTTCAATAGCTGCGTTTCCACTAACCATAAAATTGCGCGACTTGAAATTCACAAAAATACATTCACTCAATACGATACGGCCAAACCGATTTGGCCGTATCGAAATCGGTTTGTTTCACAAACTGCAATGGAATTACTTTTCTCAACATGAGTCACATGATTGACAACCAAATGTTGCCACTGGTACAAACCACGGAGAAGAAGACGAAGAAGAACAAGAACAAGAACAAGAACAAGAACAAGAAGAAGGCAGAAGTAGTTGGAGCATCATAGCACTACGTGTTTTTTAATGACTTATGTGAACAAACTTTTCAAATTTTAGTTGTGTTTCTTGTGTGATGGAAACACCACAATCGCAAATGTGTGTTTTTTCCGACATTAGTGGAATATTGACAGATTTTTAGGCACATTTGTAACAAAAATGCACTGCTGTTTATTTCTTATCCGTTGTATTCAACTTCCTTCACTCACAGACCCAACGCTAATTATTTGGCTTGCTTCAGAGGCCAAATAAAGGCGATGTGGGGGGTCGTCCTCATCATCACCAAATAGGAAAAAGTAAAAACAAATCTCATTAATTCAGATTTGACCAGACCTCACACCAAAGTGAATTCGGCTGTAGTGTTGGATTTTTATTGATTCCATGACTGCATGCAGTACCACAGTACAACCCTGTACGGTACAGTACAGTGTACCGTACAGTACCCGGGTAATCGATGGACTGAATATCAGGCTACAGACTGAAGATAAAATTTATAAAGGGTAAGCATGTAAGGAAGTGATAAACTGAAAGTTACACCAAATTACTTTTTTTATTATTTTGCGTCAGTTTTGCAATCAAGCCCACAGGCCTCTAACCTCAGACTCTGTCTGATCTGTGCTGTATTCTTTTTCATCTATGTTCTGTAAACTCAGAGGAAAAGTCCAACAGACTTGATGACAAACTGTCAGAAATTTTAGGAGTAACAACTAGCGAGTAGCTGCCCCACACCTCCCTCTCTTTAAAGGGGCAGTATTGTGTAAAATTTACTTTTTTGCTCTTTATATTGTGTTATAACATTATTCCTCCATCAAAAACATACCTGCCTTGATTCTTTCATGCATGTTTGAGAGATCCATTAATCTCCATGGCAACCATTCAGCTGTGCAAAATGTCCGTGTGGATCCAGGAGTTTTAAGGTTGAAGCTCCTCCTCTGAGCTGCAGGTTCCAAGCTTCTACCTCACAGATCATGACTCCCCCATTCAGCTCCTTCAGACTAGCCAGCAGCAATTAGCAAACACCTGGTGGAACTGAGCATCAGCTGAGTTCATTACAGGAGCTACTTCTTAGAGCAACACTGGTAAAAACGTTGTTAGAGGGTTAATAGAGGAGCAAAGTGGTGACGACTTCCTGAAGGCGGAGCCTCAGAAAAAGCAGGAGTTCTTAAAGAGACATACACCCAATTTCAAGGCATTAAATAACTAAGTCATACTTGATATAAGTAACAACTGAAGGTAACATAGTTACTTGATTGTGCTATTAATGCCATTATATGTCTGGAAAACAGATTATACTGAACCTTTAACATAGAAAATATTAACATTATGACAAGGATTACATCGGAATGTGTCTGATTTACTTGAACTGGGGTTATATTTTTGTCTTGTAATGTGCCATCGAGATGTCCATACATACATCTGTTGTATATGTATGTTGTGTGGATGAACTGTATTAATTAAGCTCAATTCATTTCTACTCATCATAAACTTTGTTATTGATCTGAATTTGCTAGTAAAAAAGAAATACATCACTGGATAGTAGCTTTAATATGGAAAAAAAAACATCAGCAAAAGAGAGATCTTATTGCTGGTAAGAAGCTCATGAAGAACATTTTGAAATTTAAAATTCACAAAAAGGCATACAATACAGAAAATAAATAGAAATCGAAGAGAAAGTTTTGATAGTTGCAGTTATCCTCAGACCTAATTTCACTCTGACGGTATCTAACATTTCCTGCAAACTCTCTAATGTATTCCTGCACCAATAAAAACGATTCTACACAAAAGAAATGTTTAAACTTTTCTTTACAATGTTTTATTACAATCACAGAGATTTCTCGTCAGACTGCATGACCTTCGCCAGACTCAGCCTTCAGTCTTTAGACCCGTTCATCGTAGGCAGTTTGTAGTTCCTCAGCTGTTCCAGGAAGCCGGGGTTGGGAGAGGAGGCCGGCCGGGCGGACTTCACCAATGAGAGTGCGTCTTCAAACGACTGTCCGTCACATGACATCAGGTAGCCGATGACGACAGCCGGGGCGCGGGACACACCGGCATTACAATGGACCAGCACAACGCCTTTCTGAAACACAATCACATCACAACTGAGACCAACGATCGATTAAACTGGAAGCCCAGACAAAATTTACTAATTCAAAGCTCTAAAGTACTTGATCATCGCTTAACACGACTGACTTGTGGTGTGCCTCAAGGTTCTGTACTTGGCACTGCTGGACTTTCCTCAATCAAATCGATCGGATCACATTTTCCAGCAGTCCAATCAGTTATGTCACAACTCTAACAAACCTTTGTGACATTTTGGGTTATGTCACAAAAGTTACATAACACCAAGATTGAAATAAGCCCCGCCTTTCCCTGGGGTCGCCACTGGAGGCGCAGCTTCACAACACACGTGTTCGCTTAGGTTGGCTTAGCACATTTCCTGTGTTTAGCTCTAATGGCTCAGCCAAACCATGCATCCATGACTCTTTGTAGCTCTGACAGCTCAGCTGACCCATTGTTCTCTTAAGACACGCACACAAATCAGTCTCACATTTGGGGGTCACGTTGCTCTGCGATAAACAACTGACTTGTTTTTTTAACATTATACCATTACTAATAAATTAGTCTCCAAAGCTTCAATATGTAACTTTCATGAATAATATTTTTTACACATTTGTTGAAACTGTCGCTACGTTGTGACAGAATGGTACGAGACAGTAGTGAATAAAAATCAACCTCTGTTTTCAACCACTGCTCCCAACAACCAATCAGAGCCAGCAGGAGGGTCTTAGCGCTGTCAATCACCCTCCGTGTGGCGCTGCTGTATCTCCTGTCTGGTAGTGTTGAATTTATTCTTCTTGAGAGTCTGGCATTTTTTTGGCGAATGATTTAAGGTAGACTGAAATGGTTCTCCTGATTCTGCTAGTTAACATCTTATTAATAATGTGATTAAAAGTAAATTATTAATCATAGTTATTAATATCTACATAAGCCAAACATTGATGTAAATTCTGATTCCCTTCAGCGCTGTCTTATTTACTTTATTTATAGTCGTTTTGAATCACTTGAAACAAAAATTCTTGTGTTTATACAGACAAGCATGACTTTAGTTATCATTGAAAGGTTATTTTGTTTAAACTAAGTTGTTCTACACTTTGTTTAAGTTTCTGATGGAATCATTTAGTTCTTTATTTAGTTAATAGTTTGCCTGTGGCCGGGACAAAAAAGCCAGCGTAAGAGAGAAGTTTTGTGTCAAATTATACTACTTGGTTGGGACTTAAGTTAAGTTCCACATAAATAAATGTTTCTGTAAAACAAAAGTTAGGAAAAAAGTAAAGGTTTTGTTTTCTAGAAACACATAAAATTGTCTGCAATGACCAGCATTCCTCGAGTCAATGTTTCAGTTTCTTTTTATATATCGATAAATCAATAGTTTTGAAAACAATAAGGACCTGATAACCAGATGGAAGTCGAAGCTGCTGGATTTCAAGCATCTGCTGCAGTGGCGTTATTTGACCACACGTTGGCTCTGTGGTCCTGCTGCTGTGACTTCGGCTCTTTGAGCCGAACTAAACAGCTTGTTTGTTTGTGTCTTTGGGAACTCATTAGCTTCTCAATTACAGCCCGCATGTTCCATCAAAAGAACGAGAGGCAGGGCGGGCAGCAGGCGAGCGCTGGATAAACGAATGAAATGATCCAAAATTATTTTATTTTTTTTAAAGTTTTTTTTTTTTCTTCATCACATTTATAAATACAGCTGGTAGAAAAAGTTGACTTTGAAACTTTTGGTTAAATGGTGAGGAATACATGCAAAAGAACAAATAAATTAAGAAAAAAGTATATCTAGATCTTTTCTTGCAAAACAATAAAAACAACAAGTTGCATCTGGATATCAAATATGAGCTTCAAAATCTCCTGGGGGGGAAAAAAATCAATAAATGCAATTTAAAAGTTGCACATTTTGCGTATCTGTAATACTTTTCCTGTCTGTCCTTCAACAAGCAGATGTTTGCGGTTGTCATAGCGACATCAATATCTATTGGTCATGATCAGCCAGGTGGCCTGCTGGGTAATCTGAGCCTGCATTTCAAAGTAAATGAATCAGTTTGGTTATCAGGGCTGGAATTACCAAAAACACACACACACAGAACCATATCATCACCAGGAATTCATACACACACTTCCTGTAATCAGACACCTCTAATGACTGCCTAATCACTCTGTGTGTGAGTGATTGTGTGTGTGTGGTGTCGTGTTAAGGTGAGGCCCAGGCTCCGCTGCTAAAAGCTTGTATGTCACCGAGATCTGATCTAGAGGCTGTTTAATAAAACATCAACAAAACTAAGCATCTATTATTCAGAGCTGAAAAAGAGGAGAGGAAATGAGGAGGGGAAGCAAGTGGCAAAGATGTCAGGACGTCTGTCACAACACAAAACTGTTCATACCGCACCGAATGAAGGCTGCAGAGGTTTGTTAGAGGCTGTTAGACCACAACCGGCTTCATGACGGCCAAGGAACGCAGCACAGTTTGGAGAAGTTTAAAAAAGT